ATGATTTTTGGAATGGGCCTTTTAGATCTTGTGTGGTAATGGTAATCTTCCAGAACGTTCTAACGAGCTAATTGTTTTGAAGTCTCTGAATCAACAACAAACTTGTTAGCGTTAGAGTTTAACACATATTTCAATTTCACATTGGGGATGCAATATTCCTAAGCAATTTAACCATTTCTATCATGTCTTTGTTCTGATTGCATGCATCATTCCGACTTCTTTTAAGTGCTTCCAAACTTTCTTTATCCCTCTTTTTATTTCTTTCTTTTATTCACTTTGACTTTTCTTTTTTTCTTTTTAGTGGTGGTCGAATCTTATGTGGATTGCCTACGTATCATGTCCCTACATGAATCAGACCGCACGTAGTTCTGCCACATAAATGCGAAAGCAAATTTTGGGAATTTTCCATTTTCTTTACTGAATCATTATAATACAAACTAAACATTTTTTGGAAAGGAGAACGAACCCGAAGTAAAACCAATTACGAACCAAAAAAAAGAAACTACTGATACATTTTGATGCAAAAGAGAATATACAGACAGACAACAAACTCTAAAAAAGAAAATACTGACTCGAACTATACATACATTAAAGCTACAAAAGTTGGTGCTCGCGAAGCATCGTTCGGCCTTGTCTTAGGTGCGAGATCTCTTTCAAGTTGCTCCAGTTCGTACATTGTCCGCTTGATGAAAATCATTACTGCTGACATAAAGGTAGTGCAGGTCATGTCTTCACACATTCGGCATCTCCTAATGATGGCATGGGCAATAGCCCCAATCTTGTTCCTGGTTTGACCTTTTTCTATGAGCAGGCACCTTATCTGATCCCTACAGCCCCCCAAAACCTGAGAATCCTGGAGATGCTGCCTTTGCAGCTGCCGTATCTCCTCTTTCATTCGAGCCAGTAAATCGTAACAGTGTCCACTTTTGATTTCATAAGCTTCAGCTTGCTTTGCTGCATTGTCCTTGTGGGTGGTCATTTTCCTTTTTAGACTGACAATGGTCTTTTCATAATCTTTCCTTGCCTGCTGTAGGTACCGTGTGCACTCTTTCATTCTCTTTGCCCATTGTACCTGGAGTTGTGCTATGGTACCCTCAGATTTTTTCAAATCATCTCGGCACTCACCGATTTCCTTCTTTAGTCCGTTAATCAATTTTTCATCCGACCGACTCCTTTGCTGATTGTCAGCCTCTATCCTCATTTGTCGGATTTGAGCCCTGAGAGCCTCATTTGCTTGGGCTAACTTGTTCTTCTCTCCTTCATCGGCAGCAACTTGCACTTTTTTCTCAAATTTCAGATCCTTGATCTGCTGTTTCAGCTTGCCTACTTCGGCCCGGTATCCGCGCTCTTTGGTCAACCAGTCCCACGTTTCTTGTGATGCCCCAACGAACTCTTGAATGTGAGGTTTTTTGGTTGATCGTTCTGGCTCGTCCCTTACAACGTCTCTCTTCCTGTACCAGGCGATATAAGCAAGTAAGACTTCGCATCTGGATAGGTTGCGCACTCGAGTTCTTACCGTTAAATACTGGCATTCATTCCATATAGAACAAACGGTTTCTTCATGAAATTGGTCGTTGGCGCTAACCTCGATTGCATAAACACTGAGATCTTCATCTGGGTGTACCACCTAGCACCTCCCTAATTATTTCATCACCCGGTAAGGCGCATAAGGCTGAATGCCTTGGAGTCCCATTAAGAGGAAGTAAGGACCCGTGGCGGGCATGTACACAATTTTTTCAACAAGAAGCCAACCCAATGTCCACCTTATTTGTGCTGCAGTGATGGCGCGAAGGCAACATACCCAGTCTTCAGACCCTTTCGGCAATTTGAGCCCTGAAACCCTCGTGTTATATCCTTCAATGCAACCTTCATTTGTAGATCTATAGCTCATATACTGAGGATGATTACACAAGTGCTCGATTATCCACATTTGCAATAAAAAATTGTATCCTTCGAAAAAATTTGCCCCGACTTTACAGACGGTGAGAGCTCGGTATATCTCGGACACTATCATAGGGGCAAGCGTGCTTTTGTTGTTGGTAATTAGGACCTTGATGACTCCAGCCACCTTTAAATCAATATTTCTGTCTTTCCGAGGAAACACCACAATGCCCAAGAATGCTACCATGAAGGCGAACCGCCTATGTTCATCCCATTTTGTCCGATTCCCTCTGCTGCAACCCCCGCTTTCCAGATCGTCGAACCCTCCTATATGCCCATACCTCTGGTATATGAACTGCAGAGTAGAAAAACCTCTCTCCAACTCAGAGTACAGGACTCCCTTGCTTATCTTCAGCAGATCCATGAACTTGTGCTAATTGACGGCTCTTGGAGCAATCAGATATTTGTGTCTTAGCCCCTCAGTAATGTCCATATAACCTGCTACCTCTTCTAAGGTTGGGGTGAGTTCAAAATCCGAGAAGTGGAATACGTTGTGGGCCGGTTCCCAAAATGTAACCAAAGCTTTTATGATGTCACATCTGGGTCTGACGTTCAACAAACTGGTGAGGCCTCCCAGATGTGATTTGATCTTATCTCGCTCTGACTTTTCCAAATCCTCCCACCACAAGCGCAACTCCAAAGGGATCTTGCTACTAACTGTTACCCGCAAACTAGGACCCGAGCTCATTCTGTATGTTTGTTTGGGGTGATTAACACTCATTGGACTCAAAGAAAGAATAAACTAAATTGACACACATTTAAATAAAACTCCGATCTTGTCAATACGGCCTTTCAGCACTTCGAAGAAGATTTAAAGGTTGTGTTTTACCAATCGGACAAAACCTTGAAAATGACCAAAAGTGGCTATTTCCGTAAAATAACAGCCTTCCGGCGTCTTTTAGGGACATTCAGCTATTTTTACAAGAATGGAATCACCCGACTTATTTATGACGAAAGATTAAAACTTTTGACATTTTTTGGCTATTTTTCGTAAAAGGGTAGGTTGGACCGGACGAGGGCTGCCTACGTATCTCACATCTGGTGAGAATCAAACCGGCGTTGTTCGGGCAGATAAAACAAACTTCTTTTGAAAATAAGATTTTTCCCAATGACAAATAAAACCATTTTTCATAAACAAAACCCCATTTCTTTTTTTTTATTTTCTCAAAAATTTGACCGAGTTTCGACGCTATTTGGACATTGATTTTTTTCTCTTTTTTTTCTTTTTTATTTTATTTTTAGAACACGCGATTAACCCTCTTTAACCCTCATACTGTTATTTCTCTTTCCTCTAAAGTCAGTCAGCATGCAAGTCCGAAGCAAATAAATGCACAAGTAGGAGCAAGTAAGATGCATCAGGATGGTCATTTTCATTTTTTGGTACACCTGTCCTAGACAGACCCAACCCCTGTGTTGAGCCTCCAAAGTCAAATGCATGTGATGCAAACAAACGATCCTACTAGGGATCCGACATGAGGTTTTGTTATACTAGGTTTATCCTGGGTGTTTGTTCTAGACCTGGCTTACCCGAGCGGACAACTCGAGCCGAGGATGGGAACTGCGTACCGGTAACCAAAAGATCATCCGGTTTTGCAACTCCTCCGAATCCTCGTTCTATTTTGGGATATGACATTAACAGAAAGAAGTCACGACCAGCGTGCACTCCTCAAGAGAGAGAAGAGAGAGATTTCGTAGCAGTTTATATATACAGTTCAGATAATATCAAAGCGGTAAAGGCAACATTTAGCACATTAGGACAAAACATGTAATAAAATCAGACAATAGATAAAGCCAAATATAACAATTCATCTAAGCTCGAATTCTGAACCCTGAACCAGAGATTCTGGGTCATGTCCCCAGCAGAGTCGCCAGAGCTGTCACACCTCCTTTTTACACTACACCCCCGAGAATGGAGTATATAAGGGAGTTCTTTCCAATTAAAGTGACAATCGAAACGGGATTCATTTATTAGAAAAATCAAAGTCGTCACTTGGGAATATTTTATGGTGTCCCAAGTCACCGGTTCAAATCCCGAATAGAGGAAAAGATTGACTCTGTTTTATAGTCCGCGAACACAGAAATCCGAGTAAGGAATTCTGTTAACCCAGGAGAAGGTGTTAGGCATTCTCGAGTTCCGTGGTTCTAGCACGGTCGCTCAACTTTTATAATTGGCCTATTATCTGATTTTAGTACATGTTTAAACCTATGTGCAAATTTTAACTTTTTACCGTTTTTGTTATTATTTATTCAAAGAATTGCAACGTCGTGAGAATGCGTCTCGAATTGCGCCACATAAATGTACCCACAATTTTTGATACGTTCCAACTTCGTTGAGATTTGGATTTGGGTCACATAAATGTGCACCCGAGTTTAAGAAGATAACATTATTAAATATGCGCATAAAGACTAACGCATTGTTATTTTGAGAAAAGCCAGAAAATTCGCTAAGCGGCCAATCCCGAGTTCTAAGTAATTAATATATATACAATCATGAGGGCCCTACAATCAGTGAGTTTTACTAGGCGAGGCTTATCTCGTTTATTTTAAGAGGACAATCCTAAAGTGACTACATTTTTTATTAAGTTTGTCTCTAAAATAAAAGAGAAGAAGTCCTGATTAATTAATATTATAACAGCGGGCTTCGAGTTCAAGTTCGAGTCCAAACCGAAGGACGAACCCTTTAATTTGAACCCGCTACCTAACTCAAAGCCCCAAACTTAATTATGTTAATTATATACTGAGACCTTTAAATCAGGCTCAAATTAAATGGGCCAACTAATTCTACTTGTGAACAAGCAACAACAGGTGGGCCTTGAGGCAAGCCCAAAACCGAATGGAGAGTGCTAAGTTGCGTAAGAGATATCGAGGGATCGAGCCCTTGACGTCAAACATTTACTTATTCATTTGCATGTCATTAGGTAGGCATCCTGATTTTATAATGAAAGCAGCACGTCATTCTACTTGGAACAACTTAAGCAAAATAAATCGCAACACTCTTTATGGGTCAATTTTAACATGCCATGATGTAGTAAATAAATAGTCCTATTAACGAAGTTAAAAACTGAAATTACCACTACTGAAATTACCAAAAGGGACTATTTCCAAAGAAACATAAAACTCAAGAATTAATCTAACTATCCTATTAACCTATCATAAAACTAAATACACCCACTACTCGAGATGATATGCTTATATACGTTCAAGACATGTCGAATGATAATCTAGGTAATAAAGAAACAATTTCAGTTTATTTATACAGTCATGTCAAATAGAACTAATGGCTGCCTTCCCATTTCATCTCAACTTCAACTTCAAATTCGAGCTTACATCAACACAGATTTTTAGAATGTGTACCTGGTATTGGAAACAAAAAAAGAGGAATATGAGAAACAGCAAATGAAGTAGCAACACAGCAACAGCAAGAAACAACAATAGTCCGATAGCAGATTAAAACCAACAAAATCCCAGCAATAATCAATGGAACAGTAACGGGAAACTCACAACAAACTCAGAAAAACCAGTTGACAACCCTAGTAATCACAAACTGAAGCAGAGAAATCCCTCAAACTCAACTTCCCTCTTCAACATTAAAAGTCAGCCTATATTTATAATTCTGAATTTTTTGATCTTCAAAAATTCCTCCTTAATCAGTCCTAATCCTTCTCCCTTATAGCCATCCAGACCTGCCCTCTCTTTCAAACTTAACTGCTTGACCCCCTTCCCCACTAAAAAATCTGCCTTTTTCCCACTTAAAACCCACTAAGGGAAAGCTTTTCCTTATTTTCAGCCCTCATTCCCTTTTGTTCCCCATTACCATATTAATTTAAAGACATTAATATCCCACTAACAAAACACTAACATTAAAATATTATCCTAACTGTTTCATTCCCAAATCACCCCTGAAACCCCTTAATATTACTGTCCCAATACAAACCATTCATCTACATTAAAACCTTTAACTCTAAAATCTTGTTCAAACTAACAATTATCTAAAACTAATTCTAATTAACAGTTATAACCAATTATCCTAACAACTGAATGACTAAGGTTGAGCTCTCATTGAAACCCATGGACTGAATTAAAATCACATCACAGAACTCAACAGAATCGTTATAACTGAAACTGAAAATTGAATCAAAATGAACATGAATGCAGGTAACATGAATGCAGGTTCATTGTCAGCCTATTGACAATACCCTGAAGCTAAGTGTCCACAGATCAAGCATACACAATAAACATTCGATGAACTTATTGGTCTACAAACAAGAACGAATTAATCGACGAAAACTAATTAACCGATTACCTACAACAATTGACACCAATTACTAAGAAATAGATAATCATGCCTTCAAGTAACAATGACCAGAACATGGATTTGTGATAAATCTTAACTAATCGACAAAACTTATTTGAATTGATTGCACATCCTATAATTATACACAACAAAGAACAGAAACAAATTTGACCGAATAAAAAGGTCTGAGGGAGAAGAACAAAACAATCGACAAAACTGAAAAATTAATATAACAATACTAAACACATAAACAAACACTTAAAACATAAAAAAAAATAGAATAAAAGAAAAAAAAAAGAAAAATACCTTAAATGGAACAAAGTACAGACGGATTCGAATCGACTCAAATTTGAACTTTTTTGAGGTAAAGCGGACCTTAATCGAGTGTTCTCAACTGAGAACACTTCGACTAAGGTCAGTTAAACACCCAAAACATCTTGAACTTCGGACAGAAACCAGTTTTGGTTTTTCTAGGGTTTTTATGTTTCGATTTGGGCTTCGAGTGTTTCTAGCCAGATTCGAACCAAACCGACGGTGGTTTGGTGACGAGGGAGGTCATGAACATGTCTGGTATGAGTTTGGGACTAGTTGTGGTAGATCTAGGTCCTGCTCGAATCTTCGATCGAAGATTCGAGAAGCTGGAGGTTGATTCAAGGCAAGCGGTCAACAGATCCGTAATGAGGGTGGTCAGGAGGTGCCTTGGTATGAGTTTGGAACTGGTTGGGGTGGGATTCAAGTTTTGCTCGAATCTTCGATTGAAGTTTCGAGAAGATGTAGGTTAATTCGAGCAAAATGGGTAAGGGATTTGGATTGGGGATGGTTAGGAGGTTCAAGGGTGTTATTTTGGTGGCCGACGGCGTCGTTGTCGCCGGGTTTCAGGCAAAAGAATGCCATGGCGGCTAGGGTTTGAGGGAAGGGCTTCGTCTCTGAGAGACGATGATGAACATGGGTTTGGACTGGGAGGGTTGGGTAGGAGGTTTCATTTATATAGTGGGGGGTGGTTTGATCTTGGTCGTTCCATCAAGAGAGATAGAGGGTCCAGATCAGTTCACTTAACTCAAACGGTGTCGTTTGAAGTAGTACTCGGTCAGTCCGGGTATTGTAATGACGGGTCGGGGTCGGGTTTGGTCAAGGCTTTGGGACCGTTTGATCAGTTGAGATCAACGATCCAGATTGAGACGCCTGAAACGGCGTCGTTTGATGGAGGCTGGAGACGGACTGAATTGGACTGGTAATGGGCTGAATTAGGTGTGGGTTTGGACGAGTTTGTGTTTGGGCTGGGGATTTTTGGCCCAAATCTTGTGTCTCTCTTTTATTAATTCTCCCTTTATTTTCTTCCTATTTCTTTTATTCTTTTCATTCAATTTTATTTCTAAATTATTTTCTAAAATCATAAACCAAGTTAACTTACTAAAAATACTAATTATCNATGATTAAGAGGTACCTGTCGAATCCACCTGTGTTGGTCCCACCAGAGCTTGAAAGACCTTTAATTCTCTATTTGACAGTCTTGGATAATTCTTTTGGTTGTGTATTGGGTCAACATGACTTCACGGGAAAGAAGGAGCAAGCAATCTATTATCTCAGTAAGAAGTTCACTCTTTATAAGGTTTAGTACACTCTGCTTGAGAGGACATGTTGCGCCTTGACTTGGGTGGCGCAAAAGTTGAAGCATTATTTGTCGTCCTACACTACTTACCTCATTTCTCGCATGGATCCTCTAAGGTATATCTTTTAGAAGGCTATGCCCACGAGAAGACTTGCAAAGTGGAAGATTTTACTTACAGAGTTTGACATCATCTATGTGACTCGGGCCGCGATGATAGCCCAAGCCTTGGCCGACCACTTGGCCGAGAATGTGGTGGATGATGAATATGAGTCACTGAAGACTTATTTTCCTAATGAAGAGGTCATGTGTGTTGACGAGGTTGACCATGATGAAAAGCCAAGTTGGAAACACTTCTTTGATGGAGCTGCTAACATGAAAGGGGTCGGAATATGGGTTGTACTTATCTCTAAAATAGGGCAACACTACCCTGTAACAGTCCATCTTCGATTTTATTGCACCAATAACATGGCTGAGTACGAAGCATGCATTCTGGGTTTGAGGTTAGTTATAGACATGGGAGTTCAGGAAATACTTGTTCTGGGAGATTCAGATTTGTTGGTTCACTAGATTCAAGGAGAATGGGAGACTCGAGATTTGAAGCTCACACCGTACCGACAATGCCTGCATGATCTTTGTCAACAATTTAGGTCGGTTGAATTTAGACATATTCCCAAGATTCATAATGAGATTGTTGATGCCTTAGCTACTCTGGCATCAATGTTACATCATCCGGACAAGGCTTATGTCGACCCCGTGCATATCCAAGTTCATGATCAAGATGCTTTTTGTAATGTGGTAGAAGAGGAAATCGATGGCGAATCTTAGTTCCACGATATCAAGGAATACATCAGGTCGGGGGTATATCCAGTACATGCTACAGGTGACCAAAAGAGAACCATTCAACGTCTAGCTAGTGGATTTTTCTTGAGTGGAGGAATCTTGTACAAGAGGACTCCAGATTTAGGACTGTTGAGGTGCATAGATGCTAAAGAAGCTTCAAATATCATGGACGAAGTGCATTCTGGAGTTTGCAGGCCGCATATGAACGGGTATGTTTTGGCAAAGAAGATTCTTCGAGCAGGTTATTATTGGCTCGCCATGGAACGAGATTGTATCAGTTTTGTTCGCAAGTGTCATCAATGCCAAGTACACGGTGATTTGATTCATTATCCCTCATCTGAGTTACACACAATGTCTTCACCTTGGCCCTTTGTTTCTTGGGGCATGGATGTTATTGGACCAATTGAGCCGGCAGCGTCAAACGAGCATAGGTTTATTCTAGTAGCCATTCATTACTTTACCAAGTGGGTCGAAGCTGTAACTTTTAATTCCGTGACCAAGAAGGCAGTGATGGATTTCGTTCATTCAAGCATCATTTGTCGGTTCGGAATTCCCAAGGTGATCATCACAGACAATGCTGCTAATCTCAACGGTCATTTGATGAAAGAGATATGCCAACAGTTCAAGATCATGCATCGGAACTCCACTCCGTATCGCCCCAAGGCAAATGGAGTTGTTGAGGCTGCCAACAAAAACATAAAGAAGATACTTTATAAGATGGTTCAAGGTTCTAGGCAGTGGCATGAAAAATTGCCTTTTACATTACTGGGTTATCGCACTACTGTTCGCGCTTCAGTAAGTTCAACTCCTTATCTGCTGGTATATGGAACTGAGGCAGTTATACTTGCGGAAGTTGAGATTCCATCCCTTCGGATCGTTGCAGAATCTGAAATTGATGATAATGAGTGGGTCAAAACCCAGCTCGAGCAGTTGAGTTTGATTGATGAGAAACTATTGTTGCAGTATGTCATGGTCAATTGTATCAGAAGAGAATGGCAAGAGCATACAACAAAAAGGTGCATCCCCGGAAATTCGAAGTGGGCCAGATGGTATTGAAGCGCATCCTTCCTCATCAGGCGGAAGCTAAAGGCAAGTTCGCCCCAAACTGGCAGGGGCTGTTCGTTGTGACGAAAGTGTTGCCCAATGGTGCTTTGTATTTAACAGACATAGAAGGCAAATATATAGATGTGGCTCTCAATTCTGATCTAGTTAAGAGGTACTATGTATGATTTCCTGCCTTACCTTCAGTTGTACTTTGTACTTGGCATGTTCGAAGTTGAAATGACGAAGGCATTTTGTTCCGCTACACAAACACTTTCATCAACTGCAACCCCTTTTAAGCCTTATTTATTTTCTTTCACACCCTTCTTTTGGAATCAGTAGCAGAAGAAAATAGTAAAAAAGAAAAAAAAAGAAAAAAAAGAAAGAAAAAAAAGAAGAAAAAAAAGGAAAAAGAAAAAAGAAAAGGAAAACAACAAAAACAAACAACTTCCTTTTGAACTACGTTCGACCTGATTTCTTTTAAGGATACGTAGACAGCCTTACGGTTCGGTCCTATCAAAATACAAATAAAAAATCCCCAAACCCAAAGAAACTGGGGCAGAAGTTTTGGTTTTGAAAAGATCTGATTCCAAAAGTTGTAATTTTGACCCATTTTCATCTTAAGTTAGTTTGAGCCTTCATGCCACCCTTTCTTTCTAATCCTGTCCAAAAGCCTACATTACGGTCCAAAGAAAGACCTTCCGATCAATCTTTGAGGATGCTAGATCAAGAGAGATAGAGGTATGATTTACATCATGAGTAACACTTTGTTCATGGCTGCAAGAGAGAAAATTTAAAATGAGAGAGTCTTATTGGTGAAAACACTCACGGGCACCGTAAGGCGATGGTAAGTTGAGAGATGAACAAATGAGAGATGTTTATTGGTGAAAACCCTTCAGGGCACTACAAGTCTAATGAGGCTCATGACATTATAGAGGAATTGGATCAGTGAAAGCCCGGTTTTTAAAGTATGTAGACATGACATGAACTGAAAATATGATTGGTTGGACAAATTAGGCTGATCAGTCCGGAATGCATGTCATGATCATTGAAGCTGGTTGTTTCTCTCAGATAAGTCTTTTTTTTCTCATTCTTCTTCATATAGTCATCTGTGTTCAAAATTTTCCTTTGTTCCTTTTGTAAAAAATCATTTCACTTTGCTCTTTTAGTCTATTTTTATGAGTTTCTTTCGAGTTAGCCCTTTTTGAATAAGAAGGAAATGATTTTAAAGCCTACTACCAGCTTCTAAATTGCACAAAGCGGAGTCCGGCCAGGCACATCACATTTGACTTGATTTAGAATAAGCAGTATGGTGATAACTGAGGTTCAGGCAATCAAGTGAATCTTGAATTTTGAGAGAATACAAGGATTCAGCAATTTTCAAAATGAAAACGCAATGCAACAAGTGAGTGTGAGAGACTCAGGTCATGCCGAGGTTTTGTGGTCCAGTTCCAATCAAAAAGTCAAACAACTCCTTGCTAGCCTGAAGCAGCTAATCAGAATGAAGCATGGCAGTGGCGGAAGCAGACACTCAGCAATGATGCCACAAACTAACCACCACGTTTTCAAGCTAACAAGATTTTATTTGTCTGAAACAAGGGCAAGAAATTTTTTTAATCCACAGGGACCTCCCATGGAAAAGCATGGTTTAGGGAGCAAGAAATTCTATTCAGGATCCTCCTGGATAATGGGATTTAATTTTCGAGTTTGCAGGACCCTTCTGGATAATGGAATTTAATTTTCAAGTTTGCAGGACCCTCCTAGATAATGAGATTTAATTTTAAGTTTTCAGGACCCTCCTAGATAATGAGATTTAATTTTAAGTTTTCAGGACCCTCATGGTAATGGGATTAATTTTCGAGTTTGCAGGACCCTCCTGGATAATGGAATTTAATTTTCAAGTTTGGAGGACCCTCCTGGATAATGGGATTTAATTTTAAGTTTTCAGGACCCTCCTAGATAATGGGATTTAATTTTCAAGTTTGAAGGACCCTCCTGGATAATGGGATTTAATTTTAAAAGTTTTCAGGACCCTCCTGGATAATGGGATTTAATTTTAAGTTTTCATGATCTTCCTGGATAATGAGATTTAATTTTAAAAAGTTTTTAGGACCCTCCTGGATAATGGGATTTAATTTTAAAAGTTTTCAAGACCCTCCTAGATAATGGAATTTAAATTTAAAAGTTTTCAGGACTCTCCTGAATAATGGGATTTAATTTTAAGTTTTCAGGGCCCTCCTGGATAATGGAATTTAATTTTCGAGTTTGCAAGACCCTCCTGGATAATGGAATTTAATTTTCAAGTTTGCAGGACCCTCTTGGATATTGGAATTTAATTTTAAGTTTTCAGGACCCTCCAAGATAATGGGATTTAATTTTCAAGTTTGCAAGACCCTCCTAGATAATGAGATTTAATTTTAAAAGTTCTCAGGACCTTCCTGGATAATGGGATTTAATTTAAAATTTTCAGGACCCTCATGGATAATGGGATTTAGTTTTAAAGCTTTCAGGACCCTCCTGGATAATAGGATTTAATTTAATGTTTTCAGGATCCTCCTGGATAATGGGATTTAGTTATAAGTTTTAGCGTAAGTTCTCCCTTTAGAAAATATAATTTATCTTTAAAGTTATCACTCTTAAGATGAGATTTAATTTGAAGTTTTCAGGGCCCTCCGGGATAATGGGATTTAGCTTTTAAATTCTTAGAGCTCTGTTGGTAACATGATCCGATTAACACTAACAAATACGCCCAGATCCCAAACTGGGGCAGAAAATTTTCTTTTGTTTTGTTTGTTTTGTTGCAATATCAGGCGCCCACCTGGATAACGAGGGAATATATTTAAGTTGTGGTAATCAGGCGCCTACCTGGATGACGTGGGAATACAGTTTCAAGTTTTAGAAATCAGGCGCCCATCTGGATAACGAGGGAATACAGTTTCAAGTTTTGGCAATTAGGCACCCACCTGGATAACGAGGGAATACATTCAAGTTTTTGGTAATCAGGCGCCCACCTGGATAACGAGGGAATACATTCAAGTTTTTGGTAATCAGGCACCCACCTAAATAACGAGGGAATACAGTTCAAGGTTTAGCAATCAGGCGCCCACCTGGATAACGAGGGAATGCAGTTACATGTTTTAGCAATCAGGCGCCCACCTAGATAACGAGGGAATACAGTTTCAAGCTTTGGCAATCAGGCGCCCACCTAGATAACGAGGGAATACAGTTTCAAGCTTTGGCAATCAGGCGCCCACCTGGATAACGAAGGAATACATTCAAGTTTTTGGTAATTAGGCACCCACCTGGATAACAAGAGAATACATTCAAGTTTTTGGAAATCAGGCGCCCACCTAGATAACGAGGGAATATAGTTCAAGTTTTAGCAATCAGGAGCCCACCTGGATAACGAGGGAATACAGTTTCAAGTTTTAGCAATCAGGCGCCCACCTGGATAACGAGGGAATACAGTTCAAGTTTTGGTAATCAGCCACCCACCTGGATAACGAGGGAATATAATTCAATTGTTGGTAATCAGCCGCCCACCTGGATAACGAGGGAATACAATTCAATTGTTGGTAATCAGCCGCCCACCTGGATAACGAGGGAATACAATTCATGTTTTGGAAATCCGGCACCCACCTGGATAACGAGGGAATACAATTCAATTGTTGGTAATCAGCCGCCCACCTGGATAACGAAGGAATACAATTCAGGTTTTGGAAATTAGGCACCCACCTGGAGAACGAGGGAGCTCATTTTATACCAAAGTCAAGCTATTGGCAGGTTCCCACCTGGAGAATGAGGGAATTCATTTCAGAATTACTTCAATTCGCAAATTTAAGAAGCATCAGGAGCTCCGCCTGAAGAACAGGGTCCATTTTTCAGTTTCGTATTGAAGATCAAGTGGAGATTCATGGAAGATTCAAGACAAGAAGTAGATAGGATCTTGTATTTTTCTTTTACTTCTGCTGTAATTTTTCCTTTTTTTGATGTAATGGCAGGAACCGTGGAACGGAACCTCGATGGCACTTCACTCGGCTCTCCACCTCAGTATACTCCATCGCTCTTCCAACTCTGAACTACACGTGGCCTGATTCCTTATAGCCAAAGATATATAGGCATCTTAGATACCAGAACTCGGTCACATTGGGGTAAGAGTTGGGTGGGGATTAGATGAAGGTCACTCCCTCTCTCTCTAGAATTCCTTTTCTCACTCTATTTTCAGTAAAAATAACATAGAGAAGGTCGGACGGGGTGTTTTTAATGGGATGGGGTCGGGTTTAAAAATTAGAAAATAGGAGCTCCGACTCAAATCTGCGATCGCATAGCTGACATGTGGCCCGCAAAGTGGACCGCAAAAATGGTCCCAAAAACTGAACACACTGCCCGGGTATGCGACAAGAATGCGGTCTGCATACCTGTTCTACGGTCACATAATGCACCGCAGAACTGCCCCTTGCAAAAATCCCAAGGGGATCATACGACGACTATGCGGCCCGCATAACGAGTATGCGATTGCATAATTGGCCGCATAGTTGACCTTAAAATTACCTATCACACTACTTGATTCTGCGGTGACTATGCGATCCGCATAACTGTTATGCGACCGCATTTTGGACCGCATTCTGGACCGCAGAATTGCACTTTTCTGGAAAACATTGATCCTTGACTTTTTAACGCACAGATCAATCTAAAAGAATTTTTATGAATTTCTGACACATGATCCTCTCAAGAATCAACTTTCGTGATGGCTACCATTCCCTAAACTTGTGGAATGCCACCTGGCTGACAAATATATCCTCCTAGACTGTGGGATTTCTAGTTCGGTCAACACCCCTAACCTGAGGCACAACACCCCCAGGTACCTCCTCATCTCCCTCATCACCTCTAGCACCCTCTTCAGATATTGAAGTTGTGGGAGAGGTAGAGTATTCATCCCCACTACCTGCTGTTGAGCCCTCAGACGACCCAGAAGAAATGTTGACTGAAGCTTGAATATCAGGGGAAGAGGGAGGAGTATCTTTATGTATGGCCCTCTCCGGATACGGGATGTATAGTGGTACAGAATCCGAAGAGATCTCGCAGAAGGGCTTGTACTCACTCCCCGAGTTGTCAATGGCTCTGTCAGCTGCTTTGATTGCTTTCCTCATGTTCTTTATGTTTTGTCTAGCCTGGGGAGTGAGTTTTACCATCCTTTTCTTCCCTCCCCGGGAGGAATCACCTTGACCTGGTTGTTTTGAGCCTTTGCCTCTTTGTTTGACCATTGCCTACAAGCACAAACATCTAGCTTTGTTAGTATCAGCATAGCAATGAATCAGTTATGGAAAATGAATTGCAGAACAAAAGCCAAAAGTTGCAGAAACAGTACAGTGTGGGCCGCACAAAAAGGAGTGCGGCCGCACTGGAGTCACCGCGGACCACATAAAAGCCATTGCGGTCCGCATTGAGGTAAGGTCCATAAAACCACTTCTTTGAATTTAGCCACCGCGGCCCACACAAAGTGGTTCCGTGTTGGGCCAGCGCAGACCACACAAGATGTAGTGCGGCCGCGCTGGGTAACAAGTTAGTTTCCTGAAAAATCTTCACCGCGGTCCGCACAAAAAGTGGTACCGCGGACCGCATCAAAGCATTGTGCAACACACAAAAATGACCGCGGTCCGCGGTGGGTGCTAAGTCAAGGCACTGAGTTAGGGTTCTTGGTCTTGTTTCTCAAACTCAGTTGCACGAGCAGCCCTTGTCTCAGTAGGCAGGAAATGATCTATAAATGCATCGGCAAACTCGCTCCACCTCGCCGGAGAGCTCCCCTCCCCACGGGAATCTTCCCACAACTCAAACCACGAATAGGCAACCCCTTTCAGATGGTAGGTAGCTAACTCTACTCCCTCTATCTCATTTGCACGCATAACCTTGAGGATCTTGTGCATCTCATCAATAAAATCTTAAGGGTCCTCTTCTGGATTGGAACCCGTAAACACTGGGGGGTCTAACTAAAGAAATCTGTTCACCTTGGAACTGGTGGAATCCTCTTGCTAACTAGATAAACTGGGTGAGGCATTTGACCTTTGGGCCTGAGAGGCCACTAGCTGAGTCAACATCTGAATAGTTCCCTTAAGATCCCAATCAGAAATACCAAAACCAGAGGTGGAACATGAGTATCAATGGGAGGAATAGTGGTACCCCCTGTAGATACAAGAACCGAGGTTGTCTGCTCCGGAACGGAAGAATCAAGCAGGGTCATAGCAGGGCGATTATCCTCACCCGCAATATTAAGTAGTGAATCATCGGCCACTCCTGGGGTGGCACTGGCACCCTGGCCAATTCTGCCTTTCTCTTTAGGTGCCATATACAGAAAATTGTACGAATGCACTAGTTAGAGGAGGAATAGTTTCACAATCGCTGCACGATCCAGAATATCAAAGAAGGGTGTTATTCCTAATGCCCAAATAGCCTCCAACTTATAGATGTGGTCGACTTCACACCGGATGATGCCATATGACCCTGCGACCCTCAAAGCCATTTTAGAACTGTTAATTGTTGCTAGATTCATTACACGTAATGTGATATTATCATATGATAAATGCCCTAACGCTAACATGGTGGTTTTGTGTTGTTGTCCTTTGTTACCTTTATTTAAATTCAGGAAGGTGGTTAGTTTGTTGGCATACTGGCAAGCCATCCTTACAACACCTGATCGAAGCGTCAAACAGTCATGACTAGCAAGGAAATAGACAGTGGAGTTGTAGGGCCACCAAGGGAGATTGTTGAGTCGGAATTGGAATTGCAAAAGGAGGTCCGGAGGTTGAAGCACCAGATGGCGGAAATGTATCAGGCCTGGATTAAGGGACACCCTCCACCCGCGTTCCCTACCAACTACATAGAAAACCCTGCTTCCATTCCACCTATCTCAATCCCAGATGCCCAATACCATTGATTTTTCCCTACAAAATGCACCTGGTTTTACCCCTTACCACAACTACCCCGACACTTCAGCCCAAACTGTTCGTGCTCCTCTAGCCAAAACAACCTCGTACCCTGCTCCAACATCTGCTCCTATTTTTGTACCCCCTCCACAAGCTACCCTCCACCGGTCCTCTAGTGAGCCCGCATTCCCCGCTATAGATTCCAACTGCTATGCACCAGAGCCCACCTTCAAAGTCCCAGATCCTTACTCTTATACTCCCCAATTTGAGCCTCATATTGAAACTGACAAACCACCCAAGAACGCAGAGCAAGAAGAGATGTTTAGGAAGGTACAAAGTCTGGAACAATCATTGAGAAATATGCAAGGGTTGGGAAACCAGGTGAGTGTGGCCTATAAGGATTTGTGTTTGTTCCCCGATGTCCAACTGCCTGCCGGGTTCAAGATGCCCAAGTTTGACTTGTATGACGGACATGGGGACCCTGTAGCTCATCTAAGGGGTTATTGTAGTAAAATGAGGGGCGCCTAGGGAAAAGAGGAATTGCTAATGGCATACTTCAGCCAAAGTCTGAATGGGGCAGCTTTAAATGGTACACCCACTAGGACGCTAGCGGGTGGTACACATGGGACAATATGGCTCAGGCCTTCGCCCGTCACCTTCAGTACAATATAGACATTGCTCCAGACCGCCTATCTTTGACCAAGGTGGAAAAGAAACCCAGTGAAAGCTTTAGAGAATATGGGTTCTGATGGATGGAGCAAGTTGCACGAGTCAATCCTCCGATGGAAGAAGACGAGATGGTTAAATACTTTCTTCGAGCCCTGGATCCCACTTACTATGGCCACTTGATCTCAGTTATTGGTAAGTCTTTCAATGATGTGGTAAAGATGGGAGAAATAATGGAAGAGGGGCTCAAGTCGAGTAAGATCATGAGCTATTCTTCTATAAAAGCAACCACCCAGGCAATCTAGAGTGGTACCAGAAGTTTGCTAGGCAAGAAGAAGAAGGAAGATGTTGCTATGGTTGTCTCCAGATCATGGCATGGACAGAGGGGTTCACCTCATCAGTACACCCATCCTCGACCCCGGCCTCAAACCTACGCCCAAGCTCCATATAATCCACCTCAACATTACTTTTCCCCGCAAAACCCCCAATACTCAGTCAGGCCATCTCAATACCGTGTTCACCATGCTTTCTTTTCCAACACCTCTTATCACCCTTTTCTCTCTTTTTTCTTCTTTTTTTTTTTGCAAAAATGATTTGATCAAACCCGATGTAGGTTGCCTATGTATCATGTCCCTCATGAATCAGACCAAGCGTAGTTTTGGAAAAGTGATGAAAAATAAAATCTTTTTGGGATTTTTCATTTAAAACTTTTCAATATTAAAATACAAAGAGAAGTATGATAATGAAAGACATGACAGACTCGACTATACTATGACAAACTCTGACACTACCTAAAGGACTTAGTACTTCTAGATAAGACGTGAAATTAAAAGACAACATAAGACAATCTCAAAACACCTAAATAGAATGACTCCTCAAGCTGCTCCTACGGTCCTGACTGGGATGGTCCTGGGCTGTCCGTCATGCTCAAACTGTGTAACATGCCTCGTAAAGAAACACTGATGCTAGAAATAAAGGCCCTGGCGTATGCCCCTCCTCCCCACCCCCCCTCCTGAAGGCCAACCCTAAACAAATACTAGCCATGCTGCTTCACGCTTGCTGCCAATCCCGCTAACTTAGACTTTATCAATTCAAGCTTATCCCAGGGATCTTGGTCTGATGCCTCCTCGAAATCATCTGTTTGAACTGCCCGACCCCTAAGTTGTGCTGGCAATGGGGTGCTGACCCCTAGCGGGATGGACTGTAACCAAATCAAGTACTCCTGAGTACACTCGAGCCTGCCAATGTCCTCTACTAATGTATTTTTCTTCATCCTCTTTGCATTGTTCCAGTATTGCACATACTTGATTTCATCAACCACCTTTTTGCTAAAATTCATGATGTGCCTCCGAAGATTAAAAGTTGGAGATCCTCTTGTCTTTTGCCCAATTGATGCATTACCCTAACGGGAGTGTACGGCCTGACACACTTGAGTCCTATCAGCATCAGGAAAGGCTGCATGAGGCACCCTACCAAGATATCATCCAAAGGTAGCCAAAGGTAAACCCTCAAAACATTCTCATTTGTCCTCAAACCAAGGAACTCAATACAAGCCGTGACGCCTACTGGGTATGTAAACTTAGGATATTTTATCCTACACTCGATGCATACCACCCGATCTTTCAAGGCACGATCGATGGGACAAAGTAAGGAAGCGGTGTGCAAATGCTCCATCATCCACAGTTGTATAAAAAGGTTACTTCCCTCGAAATATCTGACACCTCCCCTAACCTCACTCAGGGCTCGATACAACTCTGCTAAGATCATCGGCACAACGGTAACGGTTTTACGTTGCTTCTCATGAAATAGTGTCATTACCACTGACTGTAGACGAGTGCTAATGTGCCTCTCATCTAATGGAAAAACCAATAATCCCAACAAAGCAAGGCTAAAAGTTTCGAGGCGATGTCTTTGCCACTTTGCCTTGGTTGTGCAGAACTCATCCCAAAAGATGTCAAAACTATCTTGTGGTCCAAATCTAGCAAACAAATAATCCAAGGATATTCAAGACTGCTCGAGACATTTTAAATGCTTATTATCTTTCAGGCCCAGGTCGCTGAGGAATCTTGTCCTAGAGTGGTCTCGGGGAAGTATCATGTCCTTCCCTATATAGCTTAAACGAGTGAGACCAGACATTTCCGCCAAGGTAGGAGTCGTCTCACACTCTACAAATCTGAAAATCAAATTTTGCAGATCCCAATAAGTTCGCATCGCCTTCACTAAGTTTGGGCGAGGTGTGATATCAAGAAGAGAAGTTAGGGTGCCCAATTTCTGTATTAACTTATGTTGCTCTAACGATGAAAACATTTTCTACCACTTGATCAATTTCCTGGGAATCTTTACTACCATCAACACTTTGGATCGAATCAGCGGGTCCACACCTAAACGAAGAGAACATGGTTAGCAACTCGAGATACTACATGACACAACAACATTTCCTAGTGGACAAATGCAAGACACAATTAGGCTATATTTTGCAGATCGGCCTAAGTGGTTGAAAGTGACTATTAATGCAAACTTGACAATGTTGACCTTTAATGCATAAAAAATACTCCATTTAAAGCTTACATGACTCCAACATCCCCACGATCATGGCCTTAAAAATTACTTTGCGGAAATTGAATCTTTTTTGCAAAAATGGCCGATATGGCCAAATGTGGCTAGGAACGCAAACACGACATGGATGGACCTTAAAGTGATATGACACCGAGTTGAAACTCAAGATCCTAAGACATGGGTAATTGAACAACTTTTGCGAAAATAACCCTATTTTGCAAGAATGGCCGATGTGGCCAAAAGTGGCCAGACATGCAAATTTGTCAGGAATGAACCTTAGAATTGAAAGGACACTTTATTGTAGACTCAGGGCTTTAATACTGGAGATAACAAACTACTTGTACTCCTATTTTTACAAAAAGGGCAGATGTGGCCAAATATGGCTATACATGCAAGATTTGGCTACGACCCCGGAAGCCAAGAACCTAGCACCTACTAGGAAGACTGGACCCTATGTGGGTTGCCTATGTATCACGTCCCAAAAGAAGAGAATCAGGTTCGCGTAGTTCGGGAAGATTGGATATGGGAGAAAGCTTAAGAAATGACACTAATTTGGAAAAATATATTTTTTCTTTGTCTCTCTTTTTTTTTAAGAAAAACAAAATGATGGAAAGAGTAAAATCTTTTGGATTTTCTTTTTCATTTTCATTTTTGAATTTTTGGAAAATAATGAAAAAGTGTAAAATCTTTTTGGATTTTCTTTTTCATTTTTATGAATTTTTGGAAAATAATGGAAAAGTGTAAAAAAAATTGGATTTTTCATTTTTCATTTTTTTTTTGAATTGTTAGAAAACTATGAAAGAAAAATGCGAGTGGGCCCTACTTGCTTCATTTTCACCCTTCTTTCCCAAGCATCGGTCCGCCAAATGACATTTTACCCTCAAAGATGCAACATGTATCACATTGGAATGATTGAATATCTTTTTGGGCCACGGGCCCATTTTGACAAAATTTGGATAGGCTTCCTACAAAGGGACACGATGCCTGGGACCGAGCCCTACTAGGTCCAAATGACATGATGCAAATAAAAATGATCTAAAGGCTGACCTAAGTTTGGGATTCACTAACAAGGCAATTCGGGGGAGCGTATGGTTGATGGTGGCTGCTCCAGCTTTCCATCCACTCCATACGTCCGACGCCCCCCCCTCCTAAATTAAAGGTGAATCAACAAAGAGTCCGTGCACGCGACGCGTTCTCCGAGACTTGTTGTAAAAAGAAGACCCATGATTATGCAAATGATGATAATTTATAAAGCAGTAACACATTAAGTAAAGCGGTAAACTAATAACTAACAAAACAAGGAAATAAGACAAACAAAGCAAACAAAGAAAATAAAGAAAACAAAAACCTCAATCGAATATCCTAAAAGCCAACAAGATCAAGTATCAGCTCGAACCTGCAAGTCCCCAGCGGAGTCGCCAGAGATGTCACACCCCCTTTTGTAAACCAAAGAATATGTATTCCAGCATGATTCCCTTCACACCAATCTTACATGATAATCATATTAAAATATAAAAAACGTCACATATTAACGTGAATGACGCTCGAATTCCCAAAAGAAAACTCTGCACATTATTATTGTTCCTAAAGAAATTAAAACTGGGCATTTATATGAATAACAATCCTAGCAGAATCCAAGAAATTGTTAAGAAAAGGAGTCAATAGATGAATTTGGTGCTTCAGAAAAACTAACATACAAATATCATTTCAAATAGACCACCAAGTTAGGACAACAATCTTTCTATTCCAGTTAATTGCTTTTAAACAAAAACTGAACTTCATTCACTGGCATTGAAGTTTCAAACGAACGAAACTAGGAGAACACACGCGACAATTAAGTAAAGAGAGATTGCAAGAAGCTTTAACAAAAATTTCAGTGAAAATCTCCCATGAAATTGCCTACAACTCAAACTTAAATCCTTGAAACAAATTAGATAAGTTTATGGAAATCAAACCTTCAGGCAATTAGTTCAAGAGGAAATAAGACACTTACCAAGATAACATTATAACAAGATGAATTTATCATGAGATTAAGCATATTCACATCGAGGTGAGGCAAACCAATTGAACACACAAACACGAACAACTCCAAGATATTTCAGACATGGAACAATCAATGATGTCTCTGGTATATGATCTTTAAGACATGGAAACAAACTTGAAAATGGAAATCAATACAACATCAATTCAAATGTTCAAACAGATTTCAACAGAAGCCGACTCACATATACCCTTTCTTTTCAATTTCAATTTCAAGTTGACATTCGAGACACTAGTCAAAATCGCAAATGAAATCACCACTGATTCATAATCCGGGTAACGAACAGATTTCAGAAACTTAGAAAGATCGAATTAAACCAACAACGAGCTTAGCTTCAAAGCAGAATTGCAACTTATATTAAAGTAAAATAGAGTATCAATTCTAAATCAGTCGCGGCTAAACGGGCTCTCTAACATATTGTAAACTAACTAACCCCGGGTCTTATCATACTCTAAATCGACACCGAATCAATAAAATGAAATGAAAAGGATAAAGGAATACCTGAAATGAAACCTTTCCAATATATTTCCAGAATAAGAGAATACACGCAGAAAATGGGACTTGACGACAAACTTGAAATGAAAATAACTACTGAAAGTCGAGATTCCACAAGAGCCGCAACCAGAGATGAACTTCAGTTAACAAGCAGTCGATAACTCGAACGACCTCAACTCAATTTCAGAACTCAAATACTCTACATCTTGAAAGTCACAATTGAAATAAAAAGAGAAGAAGCACAAACGTTTTTTTTTGAATTGAAAACAAAATTCGAACAAGAATCTAAAATCAAACTTTTTTTTGTATTTTTCGTATTTTTGTTTTCTGGAAAGCCAACCAAACAAAAGAATTTTCCAAAACTGAAAAGAACCCTAGAAGCCCTTCTCCAATTTTCAAATTTTTTCTTCCTTTTCCCAAAACAATTCCTCAAAAAAAAGAACCCCCAAATATATAGGCACCCTAGAAGTTTCCTCCTCCTTCTTCTCCAAGAAACGCATGTGGCCCCCAACCAGATCTGAAAATCCCATTTTGTAATAAAAATTAGAAAATGGAAGTCTTTGATCAAAATTTAATTCAACGACTCACATTTTCCGACATTTATCTCAAGGATTCGAATTTTTTGTTTAAACAAAAGAAATAAAATAAAAAATCCGGGTGAATCAGATTAATGATGAGTTTTGGTACGAAAGGGATGACGTGGAAAAAGGAGAAGACGAGAGGGGGGGCCATGACACTAGGCTGAGTGAACTCGCCGGTTTTTTTGAGTTTTCCGGCGAGATGGGGCGTCGCTTGGTGTTGTGTATTTAGTTTTAGGGTTTGGTTAATATGTGGTTTTTATATGGGGTAGAGAAAGAATATGGGCTGTTGGATTAAAAGGGATGAATGGCTAGGATTTAGTTGGGAAAATGGGGCGGGTAGACGGGTTGGCGGGTCAGTTGGGTTAGGGAGATGAGCTGCCGATTTGGGCCTTATCTTGTGTAAAATTGGGTCAAAAATTTGTACTTCTTCAATTTTTAAAAACCATTAAATAACCAACCCAACCTTTTTTTAAATTAAAACTAAACTAATTTCAATTAATTAAATAAACTATGTAATAATATGAAATTATGTATTTTTTTAATGTATCAAGTTTATATAAATTAAAATTAAGAGTGAAAATCATAGTAAAAACAAAATATATGGCTATAAAATCTTAATAGCCTAAACTAAATAGAAATAAAGTAAAACATGAAATTATATATATGTATTTATTAATTTTTTATTTTTCAAGGATTATACTAAAAATAAAAATATAAAAAAACCATGGCAAACTTAGCATAATACTACTATAAAAATACTAATGAACTTAAATAAATAAAAAATTAAAAAAACAAGCATATCTAATAAGATAAATTGAAACTTTCTTCTTTATTTTTCTATTTTTTTTCTTCTTTTTTTTTATGATTTGAAATTAAAATAAAATAGGCTAAAATTACATAATAACTCAAGTAGATATTTTAAAACATAAAAAAATATAAACACTAACTTTAAAAACTGTGCGGGTCAAAAATTACATGTCTACAATGATGAAATAGAATATGATGAAGAAGCAGCATTTGAGGAAATCAATAAAGAGCTAAAACAATTTGAAGAAAAAACAAAGCCTAATTTGAGTGAAACTGAAGCAATCAATTTAGGGGACCAGGATGAAGTTAGGGAAACCAAGATAAGTATGCATTTAGAACTGCAAGTTAAGGATGAAATAATCAAAAGATAAGTATGCATTTAGATCTGGTAGTTCATAAATTGCCAACTGATCCAGCATTCCCTCCTATCAAGCAAAAGTTGCGAAAGTTCAAGACCGATATGAGTGTGAAGATCAAAGAAGAAATCACAAAACAGCTTACTGCAAAGGTCATTCAGATCACTCGATATCCCATTTGGTTAGACAATGTTGTGCCAGTACCAAAGAAGGATGGCAAGACCAGGGTTCGTGTTGATTACCGTGATCTTAACAAAGCAAGCCCAAAGGATGATTTCTATTGCCGAACATTCACATTCTGATCGATAATTGTGCCAAGCATGAGATTGGGTCTTTTGTGGACTGTTACGCGGGATATCACTAGATCTTGATGGATGAGGAAGATGCAGAAAAGACAACATTCATTACGCCATGGGGAACATACTATTATCGGGTAATGCCATTTAGTTTGAAGAATGCTAGGGCAACTTACATGAGGGCGATGACCACCATATTTCATGACATGATACATAGGGAGAATGAGGTTTATGTGGATGATGTGATCATAAAGTCAAAGAAGCAGTCTGATCATGTCAAAGACCTGAGGAAGTTTTTCCAAAGGCTCCACAAGTACAACCTCAAGCTCAATCCAGCAAAATGTGCATTTGGTGTCCCGTCTGGGAAACTGCTGGGATTCGTGGTCAGTAGACACGATATTGAGTTGGATCCGTCGAAGATCAAAGCCATTCAAGAGTTATCGCTGCCAAAGAATAAAACAGAGGTGATGAGTTTGCTTGGAAGGTTAAATTACATCAACAGGTTTATTTCTCAACTCACGACAACCTGTGAGCCCATCTTTAAGCTGCTGAAGAAAAATGTTGCAGTCAAGTGGACTGATGAGTGTCAAGAAGCATTTGATAAGATTAAGAGGTACCTGTCTAATCCACCTGTGCTGGTCCTACCAGAGCCTGGAAGACCTTTAATTCTCTATTTGACAGTCATGGATAATTCTTTTGGTTGTGTATTGGGTCAACATGACATCACAGGAAAGAAAGAGCAAGCAATTTATTATCTTAGTAAGAAGTTCACTCCCTATGAATTTAAGTACACTCTGCTTGAAAGGACATGTTGCGCCCTGACATGGGTAGCACAAAAGTTGAAGCATTATCTCTCATCCTACACTACTTACCTCATTTCTCGAATGGATCCTCTAAAGTATATCTTTCAGAAGCTTATGCCCACGGGAAGACTTGCAAAGTGGAAGATTTTACTTATAGAGTTTGACATCATCTATGTGACTCGGGCCGCGATGAAAGCCCAAGCCTTGACTGACCACGTGGCCGAGAATCCGGTGGATGATGAATATGAGTCACTGAAGACTTATTTTCCTGATGAAAAGGTCATGTGTGTTGACAAGGTTGACCACAATGAAAAGCCAGGTTGGAAATGCTTATTCGATGGAGTTGATAACATGAAAGGGGTCGGAATATAGGTTGTACTTATCTCTGAAACAGGGCAACACTACCTTGTAACAGCCCAACTTCAATTTTATTGCACCAACAATATAGCTGAGTACGAAGCATGCATTCTGGGTTTGAGGTTAGCTATAGACGGGAGTCCAGGAAATACTTGTTCTGGGAGATTCAGATTTGTTGGTTCACCAGATTCAAGGAGAAAGGGAGACTTGAGATTTGAAGCTCATACCGTACCGATAGTGCCTGCATGATCTTTGTCAATGATTCAGGTCGGTTGAATTTAGACATATTCCCAGTATTCATAATGAGATTGTTGATGCCTTGGCTACTCAGGCGTCAATGTTACATCATTCGGACAAGGCTTATGTTGACCCTATGCATATCCAAGTTCATGATCAACATGCTTATTGTAATGTGGTGGAAGAGGAAATCGATGGCGAACCTTGGTTCCACGATATCAAGGAATACATCAGGTCGAGGGTATATCCAGTACATGCTACATGTGACCAAAAGAGAACCATTCGACGTCTGGCTAGTGGATTTTTCTTGAGTGGAAGAATCTTGTACAAGAGGACTCCGGATTTAGGACTGCTGAGGTGCAAAGATGCTAAAGAAGCTTCAACTATCATGGTCGAAGTGCATTCTGGAGTTTGCGGACCGCATATGAACGTGTATGTCATGTCAAATAAAATACTTCAAGCAGGTTATTATTGGCTCACTATGGAACGGGATTGTATCAGTTTTGTTCGTAAGTGTCATCAATGCCAGGTACACAGTGATTTGATTCACTCTCCCCCATCTGAGTTACACACAATGCCTGCACCTTGGCCCTTTGTTGGTTGGGACATGGATGTTATTGGACCAATTGAGCCAACACCGTCAAACGGGCATAGGTTTATTCTGATGGCGATTGATTACTTTACCAAGTGGGTTGAAGCTGTAACTTTCAAGTCCGTGACTAAGAAGGCAGTGGTGGATTTCGTTCATTCAAATATCATTTGTCGGTTCGGAATTTCCAAGGTGATCATCACAGATAATGCTGCTAACCTCAACTGCCATTTGATGAAAGAGGTATGCCAACAGTTCAAGATCATGCATCGGACCTCCACTTTGTATCTCCCCAAGGCAAATGGAGCTGATGAGGCTGCTAACAAGAGCATAAATAAGATACTTCGTAAGATGGTACAAGGTTCTAGGCAATGGCATGAAAAGTTGTCTTTTGCCTTACTGGGTTATCGCACTATTGTTCGCACTTTAGTAGGTGCAACTCCTTATTCGCTGGAATATGGAACTGAGGTAGTTATACTTGCAGAAGTTGAGATTCCATCCCTGCAGAAGCTGAAATTAATGATGATGAGTGGGTCAAAACTGGCTCGAGCAGTTGAGTTTGATTGATGAGAAAAGGTTAGCTGCAATATGTCATGGTCAATTGTATCAGAAAAGAATGGCAAGTGCATACAACAAAAAGGTGTGTCCCCTGAAATTCGAAGTGGGCTAGATGGTATTGAAGCGCATCCTTCCTCATCAGGCGGAAGCCAAAGGCAAGTTCTCCCCAAACTGGCAGGGGCCATTCATTGTGACAAGAGTATTTCCCAATGATGCTTTGTATTTAACAGACATAGAAGGCAAATGTATAGATAGGGCTATCAATTCTGATGCAGTTAAGAGGTACTATGTATGATTTCTTTGCTTACCTTCAGTTGTATTTTGTACTTGGCATGTTCAAATTTGAAATGACGAAGGCATTTTGTTCTACTACATAAACACTTTCATCCTTTGTTACCCCTTTTTGAGTTTTATTTATTTTCTGTCATACCCCTCTTTTTGAATCAGTAGTAGAAGTATAGAATGAAAACAAATGATGATGAATGAGTGAAAATAAGAAAAACGAAAAGAAGGAAAAGAAGAAAGAAGAAAAAGAAAAAAAAGAAAAGAAAAAAG